ACATCACCACAGAAACAACCAAGATTCAGAACATTATAAGGGAATACTTCTCAAAATAAATTTCAGAACTTGGCAGATATGCACCTTTTCCTAGCAAATCGTGACATGCTGAAACTCAACCAAGATGAGTTAAACCATCTTAACAGGCCCATTTCAAGCATTGAAATAGAAACAGCAATAAGAGCCCTCCCTTCTAAGAAAAGCCCAGGACCAGATGGTTTTACAGCGGAATTCTACAAGATCTTCAAAGCAGAGCTCACACCAATACTTCTCCAACTAACTCATTCTATGAAGCCATCATAACCCTCATCCCAAAACCAGGCAAGAACTCAACAAAGAGAAATATAGACCCATGTCTTTGATAAACATTGATGCAAAACTTCTCAACAAAATTTTGGCCAATCGACTTCAACAATTCATCCAAAAAATCATACACCACGATCAAACAGGATTCATTTCAGGGATGCAAAGCTGGTTGAATATATGCAAATCAATTAACATAATTCATCACATCAACAAGAGCAAGGATAAGAACCACATGGTTATCTCAATAGATGCAGAAAAATCATTTGACAAGATCCAACACCCCTTTATGATGAAGGTGCTGGAAAAATTAGGAATCCATGGAACATTTTTCAGTACAATAAAGGCTGTAGATGACAAATCTACAGTCAGCATTATACTTAATAGTGAAAAACTAAAGCCATTTCCTCTTAACTCAGGAACAAGACAAGGATGTCCACTCTCTCCACTGCTCTTCAATCTAGTATTAGAATGCCTAGCTACAGCAATAAGACAAGATGCAAACATAAAAGGGATCCAAATAGAGAAAGATGAAGTAAAACTCTCCCTCTTTGCAGATGACATGATCTTGTATTTAAAGAATCCCATAGACTCCACTCCCAAATTACTCAAGCTGATTCAAAACTTTGGCAAAGTAGCAGGGTATAAAATTAACCCACAAGGGGCTGGGAAGGTGGCTCAGTGGTAGAGCGCTTGCCTTGCATGTTTGAGGCCCTGGGTTCGATTCCTCAGCACCACATAAGAAAAAAGAAAAAAGCCAGAATTGGCACTGTGGCTCAAGTAGTAGAGGACTAGCCTTGAGCTGAAGAGTGAGGGACAGCGCCCAGGCCCAGAGTTCAGGCCCCACGACCGGACCCCCCCCCCAAAAAAAATTAACCCTCAAAACTTTTTTGTATGCCAACAATGAGAAAAGCGTGGCTGAAATTAGGAAAGCAACTCTATTCGTAATAGCCCCACAAAAAATAAAATACCTAGGAATTAACTCAACCTCTATGATGAAAACTTTGAGCACAGGCTCCCATGCTCCTGAAATGGAAGGATCAATATCGTGAAAATGGCAATACTTCCCAAGGCTATCTACAAATTCAATGTGAAACCTATCACTATTCCAACCGCATTCTTCAAGAAAATAGAAGAGGAATCCAAAAATTCATATGGAACAATAAAAGACCTGAGTAGCAAAAACAATCCTTAACAGAAAAAACAGTGCTGGAGGAATATCAATACCAAATTTCAAACTGTATTACAAAGCCATAGTAATCAAAACAGCCTGGTACTGGCACAAGAACAGACCTCAGGACCAATTGAATAGAATTGAAAACCCAGAAATGAACCTACAGACCTATAGCCATCTAATCTTCGATAAGGGAGCTAAAAAAATGGAGTGGAAGAAAGACAGCCTCTTCAGTAAATGGTGCTGGCAAAATTGGTTAACTCCTTGTATATATCACCCTGCAACAGAATCAACTCCAAATGGATCAAAGACCTCGGAGTCAAAGCAGACACTCTGAAAATATTACAGGATGGAATAGGAGAAACTTTAGGTCTCCTTGGCGCAGGCCAAAATTTTCTTAATACAGACCCAGAAACACAACAAATCAAAGAAAGTTTGGACAGATGTGTGGAGAGCTGCGGGAGCCGCGACCAAAGACGGCGCGGCCGTGAGGTGCGGCTGCAAAAATGGCGCGGCTGCGACCAAAGATGGCGCTGGCTCCCGCCTTCCGTCTTCCCGGTGACGAGTGCTCTCTGTAAGAAAAACAACTCCTTATATGGCTATGACTTGGCTCCTAGTTTGCTTCTGTGTTTGCAGCCCTATCGGTATGCAGCCCTATCGGTATATGCCACGTGGCGCTTCGGGATTGGCCATCCAGGAGGCTTATAACTGGAGCGCGGGAGCGGAGGAAGCAGAGAGAAGCGGGCAGAAGCAAGTGGGAGAGAAGCTTGTAGACAAGGTTCCTGAATAAACTGCATTGAGAAGAATCCCAGGTCGCGTCTTCCTTGCTGGTCGAGGTGGTCGCGACACAGATGGGATTGCATGAAAATGCAGAACCTCTGCATGGCAAAGGACATAGCTAACAAGATCAATAGAAAGCCCACGGATTGGGAGAAGATCTTCACTAGCCATACAACAGACAAGGGTCTCATATCTGAAATATACCTGTAACTCAAAAAATTATATCCCACAACAACAAATCCTCAAAGAAACAACAGCCCAATAAATAAGTGGGCTAAAGTCTTACAGAGAAACTTCTCTGTAGAGGAAAGAAGGATGGCCAATAGACACATGAAGAAATGCTCAACTTCCTTAGCCATAAAAGAAATGCAAATAAAAACAACATTGAGATTCCACCTCACCTCAGTTAGAAATCAAGAAATCTAGTAATAACTGCCGGAAGGGATGTGGCCAAAAGGGAACCCTATTACAACTGTTGGTGGGAGTGTAAACTTGTTCAACCACTTTGGAAAGCAGTATGGAGGTTCCTCAAAAGACTCCACATAGAGCTCCCCTATAATCCAGCAATCCCACTTTTGGGCATTTATCTGAATGATCACAAACAAGGCCATACTAAAGCTACTAGCACAACTATGTTTATTGCAGCGTTATTTACCATTCCTAAGATATGGAACCAACCCAGATGCCCCTCAGTAGATGAATGGATCAAGAAAATGTGGTATATATACACAATGGAATTTTGTGCCTCCATCACAAAGAATGGCATTGCCCCATTTGTTAGGAAATGGAAAGACTTGGAAAAGATTATATTAAGTGAAGTAAGCCAGGCCCAAAGAAACATAGGTCCCATGGTTTCCCTTATTTACTAGTATATGTCTAAGACAAGCAGAAAAGGTTAGATAAGTTGATGTTAGGTGCAATGAACCCCAAGATAAGTATTCAAATGTTTTTTTCTTTCATGCAATTGTTTCTATCATATGTATAAGATGATTTCTTTGTTGCTTTGTATGTCCCTCCCCCACGGTATAACCCCTGCTTTCACTGTATTTGATGTTGGTATAATTTGTGGAGGGGAAGCAAAAAAACAAATCATTTAAATCGGGATACAGGTAGACCCACTGCAACAATGAGATGTACAAATCGTTTTATCGGAAAACGAACTTTACTACTTTGCAGGGTGGGGGAGGTAAAATGGGATGGGATGGGAAGGGGAAACAAAGGAGGAGGCAAGAATGCTTGATAAGAAATGTACTCATTACCTTGCCCATGTAATTGTAACCCCTCTGTATGGTATTTTCACAATAAAAAAAAATAATTAAAAAGATATTGGGTTCTTCCAGTTTAAGATACATATTCCATAGGAAATTGTAAATAACTCCTTTAGACAAATATATTTATTCCTGACTAATGTTACAATTTTATACATATGCTTCTTCACTAAAGGAATCAGAGCAAAAGACCTCTTATATCTCAAATATAAACAACCATAGACAACCAGGAAATAATTTGAAAATAAACTACCAAAGAAGATAAACAGGAATGTTTGAAAAGCACGTGAAAATATTCACAATACCATCAGGTTTCAGAAAAAGGCAAATAAAAACACACTAGGATCTTATTTCACATGTACTATGATTGTGATAATGAAAATATTCACAATATTTTAAATTATTAGTTAACATAAATATTGTAAGTGATGTGAAAACCTGTACTGTACATGATGGAATATGAATATATAGACAGTTTGAGAATTTCTTACATGTGTGTGTATGCCAATCCTAGCGCTTGAATTCAGGATCTTAGTGCTGTCCCTGAACATTATTCTTTAAGGCTGAACACTCAGTCTCAAGGACTCTCCTCTTGGAGTTGTCTTTGAACAATGATTCTTAGATCTCAGCCTCCTGAGTAGCTAGGATGCCAGGCATGAGCTACCAATACCCAACTCTCCAATTTTTCTAAGGTGGACTTTGATATCATAATCTTAAATTAGCCCTGCCAATGTTAGTATCTGAAAAAGAGTGATTGAACCAGATGTTGCAAGAAATGATGAGGTTAATGTTAGTTTAATTAGTACTCTTTTTTCTTATACTTTATGTTTATGAGTAATTGTACAATTATTGCAATTTATCAGTAAGTTGATGCTTGCCTTACCTCTTAAATGGCTAATGATATTCACTAAAAATACACCTATGCATAAAAAATGTGACTCAAGCCTTAACATCATTGGAGATGTACTGTCCAAATAACACAATTTAAAACTAAATTTAATATACAGATTTTTGGATAATAGGGGAGGGAAGGGATAGTGGGAGAACAACAAAGGAGGGGGTAATGTACTCATTACCTTACTCATGTAACTGTAAACCCTCTGTACAGCATCTTTACAATAAAATAACATTTAAAAATATAAATTTTAATTTTTCACTATTTTTATTATTCATTTTTATTTTACTGTTTTTATTATTTATTTTTTATTATTTTTATTTAAAAATGCTAAAGAAATAAAGGGGTTACAGTGACAGAACTCAGCCAAAGAGTGCATTTCCTTTTGGATAATGTCACCTTTTCCCTTGCTGTCTTCCAGTTTGTTCCTCCTATTCCCACCCACAGTTTGCATAGTTCATTTTCAACAGAGTGCCCAGTGAGTACCACTGCTACATTTGTTTGTTCTTTGTCCCACTATATAGACATTTTAAACATAGATATTTAAAATGAAGCAAAGAAGAACAGTTTAGGTGCTTACCTTATAATATCTCCTTCAAGAGCGATCACTCTCTTAATGATCTTCTGTTCTGGGTTTTTAGGAGACCTAGAATGGGAAGGAAAGGTTATGAAATCAGATATGTTCTTGTTGTTTTAAGAAAATAAAAAAGGAATATTATAACAAATTAGATTATATTAACATCAATATAGAACTCTCTACACTCACAACATGAAATCAATCCTACTTAGGTTACAAGTGATAGTAAGTATCTCTGCAGATAATTCTCTTTTGAATTCTCTGCAGGAAAAGAACCCTTACTAAACTTAACCGAAACAATACATATAGAGGGACAAATAAGTTTATTATCAAGACATGTCATTTATTGCTACATTTTTGTTGCTAGTAAACATAATCACTTTATTGGAAAAAGGATTCATACATGAGAATAGACTTTTAAGAAATAACATTCTTAAGTTTACATCATTTAAAATTAACAGAAGGGTTTGATTTAAATTATGCAGAAAACAGAGCATTACTGACAGTTCAAAGAATTTGACAGGATTGATATAGTTTTAAAAAGATAGTTTATTTTAATTCACTTGATAATAAATTTTTACTAGAAGAAACACTATCTGCTGTAAGCCAGTGTGTTTATCTCCCATATTGAAGTAGGATTGATCTGTGAGGTCAGTGGAGTGTGGGAAAGTGATGGCATTTCTCTTTTGAGATAAGGATGTTAAACAGATGTTAAACAGATTTTACAATCCACTTCGGGATTTTCCTCTTCCTCTCCCTTATCTTCAATATCTCTTCCCTAAAACTTCCTTCCTGTTTCCCTCAAGTCCATCTCCTGGATATTTCATTCTGTCCTGAGTAGATCTGTGGAAGAAATTCCCAAGATGAGGAAACCAGGTCAGGCCAGCAGTCAGTAAAGTTCTCAGGTATTTTGGTAAAATTTTCAGGGTGTATGTAGGCCCCGTCAACAGTCTGAGAGCAAACTCATGATGGAGCTTGAACTGTAACACCCAACAAAGCAAATGTGTGAGATCAGAGCTCATTGTAAGCTGCTAGAAATTGAGATACAGTATGATTCAGCAATGTATAATTATCTTAATTTGCCAAGTTCCTGCCAATCAGATTTTAAACTTTTTGCCTTAACAAACCCCACGTAGCAAAAAAACAAAAACAAAAAACAAAACAGCTCCTGTAGCAATCTTATAAATGGTAATTTAATATGTACTTGAAAATTATGGACAAAATATTTTAAATTTGTCACATTTTAGATTATACTGCTTTTCTTAAAGAACGTCAATACACACAAATGGAAAAGATCAAAAATATTAAGAACAGTTTCAATAAGATTTATGGTCTACAATATATCTCTATGTTCTACAATATTATCTTTATAATATACAGTCGCATCTACTTGTGACAATGAGTTTCAAAGTTTTGCCACAAGCTTGTTTCTTGATATTCTTTACCTTAAAGGGAAATTTGATCAGAGTTTTGAATGTTCTCTCCTCTTCATTGAATTGAGTAAACGTTTTATTTCAACAACTCTAATATCATTAACTATAGCTAAACTGAGAGGCTTAGGCACATAAAGGCTATTTAGGGCCTCCATGCAGGAAAAAGTATAGACCATGTAGAAAATGTTTTCCCATCTCTGTATAAATATAATAATGCATAAAACAAATATTCAGATTCAGCAGTCAAAGAATTGCAAATTTAATGAATAGGATAATTTGTTAACATTAATAAACATAGACCATTATCAAGGGTTTAGGAATGTGGTTATCTCTATATAAACAGTGTAGTCAGAAATTCTTTTCTGTAATGTTGCCTACATTTTATATTCTTTTTTACATATCAATTTAAACTTCTAGGAATTTATCTCAATGAGGCAACTATGAAAGTATGCAAAATGTAATGATACAGGAGTATCAACCAAAAGTATGGATTAAAAGTCAGAAAGTATTTGTACTATAACTTCACATCTTTAATTGCACAAAGAAAAATGTGCATCCAACTTTATTAGAAAGATGAAGAAGAATCTAAAACAGATGGGGTAAAGATTCTGTGAATGTTAAAGATTTTTATCCTCAGGTGTTTTTTGGTCATTACAATCATTAGCACATGACAACTGTATGTCATATGACATTACCTAAGAAGAAATATTCCAAAACAAAAATAAGAGTGGAGTTAATTACCAGTTCCCACCTAAATCTGAGGTAGAATTTACACTAATTATATACCATAAAAAAGCAATCCTATATATGTGGTAAAGTTTGCCAACAATATTGATGTCTTGGAGATGCCAGAGAAGTACCTTATTTTTAAATAAATTGTATTTTAAGATTATGAAGCAAAACAGAATATATAAAGCAAACTATCTATATAATTAGTCATATGAATAAATTTTAATGCAATATTAAACTCCTGAATCTAATCAAATCACTCAAAATGAAAAAAATCTATTGCTAACATTAATTTCATTACTGCTTAAAATCTATATTTTAATCATTAGGCTGTTGTTGAATACATTACTTTGATGTAAGTATAACAAGTTAAAGAGTTATGATAGATTTGTATCATAAAAGTTATTAAACTTCTTTTTGTCTTAATTTTTTTGGCCACTTGCCTAGCTCCTAGAACATGTGAAGAATGAGAAGTGAAAGATTAGGCCTTACTTTAGGAACACATTGTGTGCTGTCCAATAAATACACAAATTTGCATTTAAATTTGTATTTATATGGTTTTCATAATTTAATCAAGCTCAGTTTCTCCAGAGGTTGGACAAGAAGCCTGGATGTATATGATAAGGCAGAACATGTTCCCCATAAGAAAAGTTGAGGGGCAAGGAAAGAGGTCTAAAGTAGATGCCACAAAATTTCCCTTCCCTCCCCTCTACCTTTCCCTTTCTTCCCCTCCACTCTCCTTCTCTAGTGGTACCAGGGTTTGAACTCAGGGCTTCACAAGCAAGCTCAACTTAACTTGTTCATCTTGTTCACATCACTTAATCTGTGCCTCCAGATCTATTTCTTTGATGGTTATTTTGAAAAGGAAGTCTCATGGACATTTTTGCTTAGAATGGCCTTGAACCTCTGATTTCAATCTCCTGAGTAGCTAGGATTACAAGCATGAGAGCTACTAGTGAATGGAAAGATGATGCTCAATATTTTTTAGAATTTTATTTTCTATCTTCATAAGATGTTTACATTTACTTGCTGACAGTCAAACACAGCAAGTCTTAAGTCTCATGATTACAACTGCAATCCTATCTACACAGGAGGCTGATTTGAGAATACTTATGTAGTAATATTTACCCTGACTATAACACTGTATATTTTTATATACTACCATTTTGTGGTGGAGTAATGAGGTGTTTCCAACACATCTTCATCCTGATCTCCCATTCTGGGTGGGATACCTTTACACTGGGTCTAGGCAGTCTTCTACTTATTGTGAAATCTTAAAACTTCTCTTTGTGAATTGGGTATATTTATATAGTTCAAGATTGTCCCAGATTACCATAGAAATAATCTGTGTATTAGAACTTTCTATAGCCACAGTCTAAGAACTGATTTCTCCAAAGTACCACCATTTATTGAACTCTAATTGTACTCCATATATCCCAATGAAGATTTCCTTCCTTCCTTTCTTCCTTCCTTCCTTCCTTCCTTCCTTCCTTCCTTGCCATACCTCCAGTCCCAGAGTCTCAAATTTTGATACATATTAATGAGATAAAAATTATAAATATTTTGGATGCATTATATTAGACAGGCTACTTTTCACTGTCTTAAAGGATAATCAAGCACTAAGCCATACTTAATTTTTAAATGCTATAAATAAGCCAGCTGCTAGTGGCTCACACCATAATGTTGCTCATGAGGCTGAGATCTAAAGATTGAAGCTTAGAGCCAGCCTGGGCAGTAAAGTTTGTGAGACGCTTATCTACAATTAACCACCAACAAATCTGGAAGTGGAGCTGTGGCACAAGTGGTAAGGCACTATGCTTGAACACAAAAAAGTTCAGGGAGAGCACCCAGGCCCTGAGTTCAAGCCCTAGGACCAACCAAAAGGAAAATTTTTTAAAGGCCATAAATAATATAACTTAATAGTTCAAGTTTTTCTATTTTGTAACAAAAAATAATGGAATAAAAAGTGTACAAAAAGCAGTCATAAAAGATCAAATCAAATGATAACTTCCCTCCTTTCGCTTTTAAATTATGGAAATATTACCAGGATTTGACATATTTTTATATAGATAAAGTGAAAAGACCTTTTGTTCATAATTTGCCCTTTCTCTACTACTGTTAATCTTGCTTATTCTTCACATCCTAAGTTGTTCACTGGGTGACTGTGATGGATGGGGTCCCATAAACTGCCAATGTCCCCACTGCAGTGATATGTAACCAGTGTCACTGTTACCTCTGCTGACTGTAAATGAATTAACCACCAACCTAGTTCTCACTTGCAAAGACAGAAGATCTGATCCTGGGTCCAAAAAAGGGGAGTCAGCCATTAAAAACCGAGGCATGGCATGACTTGTCTGTACATTTTTAAACATAAATCATGGGCTGACCACACAAAGAAGAGTTTTCACATAAGAAAGAATTCAATTTCTTATTTTTCTTGAATAAAATAACCCTGGACCCACAATCTTGCATGAAGAACTCCACGGGATCCGAGGAGTACATACTAAAGATTTATAAACAAGTAGTGCCTGAGGTTAACTGAGTTTGTGGATTTCTAGAAATCCAGAAGCATTTTTTCCTACCAGTGGTGTGATATGAGTGATATGAAAGCATAAACTTTAAAAAATAAAACTGATTTACAAAGACTTTTTAATGAAATGTGTTTTTTTTCTAATTTTACTATGATTAGGAGAGCTTTAATAAGCAAACCATGACAACTAGTCTCGTTAGTAAGTCAGCCTTGAGTATGTAAAAATCAATTAAATGTATATTCTGACTAACTTCTGGGGTGAAACATGGCTGTAATAATTGGTAATGGAGTTTCCAAATCTAAACAATAATTGCACTTAACTATGAAAAGATAAGAAATTTAGTATAATCCTAAATTCATTTCTATCAATATTAACT